CACTTAGGCTCTTTCCATGTTTTAGCTATTGTGGAGAGTGCTGCTATGAACATTGGGGTACATGTGCTCCTATGCCTCAGCATTTCTGTATCCCTTGGGTAAATTCCTAGCAGTGCTATTGCTGGGTCATAAGGGAGTTCTATTGTTAGTTTCCCGAGGAACCTCCACACTGAAGCTGGAACCTTCTAAGGGAATCCATTCTTTTAGGGAGTGGTTTGGGCTGGAAAATCTTAATCTTGAATTCTTATCTCTTCGCCACTTCCCACCCCCCAATCCTCCCACTAGATATTTAGAACTCCTTGTAAACTTCACAGGATCGAGATGTATTGAGATCTGTAGGAGGTGTTGGAGGAAAAGGGGGGACTGGGATGTTAAAAATCAGGGCAACAAAAATACCTATGATGTCATTTACCCTGACTTCTGAACCACCAGCAGCAGCCTGAAGTTCCACCTCGCCTCTCCCAGCCTGTGTTATCACCTCACACTAAATGTAGGCCTCAAAGGGTCTTCCAAGAGAGCGCTTCTCACTCCTTCCCCACCTCCCCACAGCCCTATCTCTCCCTCCTTCTCTGACTTTTAGCGTAGTCAATTAAACCTGAACAACTGGTGGATGGAGGAAATATGCTGCATCTATGGAATGGTACAGCAGGGACCAGTTTCACTGTTAATTTAAAATGCTAGAATTAATTAGGTAGTGTAAATGAAGAATTTAATAAGCACTCTTTACAACCACAAGTTCTACTTTTATTAAACACTGCTACCAAATGAGGGCAAATATCTCTGGTCTCTCTTCTATTTCTTTGCCTCATTCCCATAAGTTCTCTGCAAATAAAATTTTTTTCTCTGAAATTTAAAAAGTGCATAATTATGAATTTATGTCTGAATTATATTTCTGCTTTCAACCCATAAGCTTCTTCTTTAAGCTCAGATGCTACTGTCTCTGCTTGTGCTGGAGAGGGTGCTAAACAAACCAAAGTTGACAATTTTGGTTTTGTATACCAAATTAAAGGCTGTCTTCGAAGCTGTCACTCCTATTCAAATCTACTCGGTGAACTACCAAATTAGCATTCTTTCAGTAAAGGAATCTGCTTGTTTAAACATGTGTCTTTAGAAAACAAGGAACAACACCATGAATCAGTACTTTTCAAAAATCTCACTACAGTTCTACGGGAATTCTTTTGAAGAGGTGATTAATAATATTCACTAATATAGCTGGCAGAGTCCCTATTTAGAAGGTAAGGCTACACCAAAAATACATTTTCTATACAGGAGTGGGAGGAAGAATCATATGGTTAACTGGTTTTAATTTTGTTTGAATTATCATCCTTTATATAAAGATTATTCAGGAATCTAAACAGTGGCTGTCTGAGAGGACAGGCAGTTCTGTTAAAGGATGGATGGTATGGTGCTCTCAGATAAGATCATCAAAGCTCTGGCCCTGTTTGGAGACCTTGATAAAATTTCTCTGTTCAGCCACTCTCCTTGTAACATACTACCTGCCTCTGTAATAACAACATCTCCCATTTACTAAGAGACCACTATGCAATAGGCATTATACTATCCGGTCTCTCATTTAATCCTCAAAATAAGCCCTTTGAGATAAATATTATTTTCTAACTTTATAGATGAAGAAATTATGTTTGGAGGGTTATGTGACTTTTATTTTCAACAGTTATTTTAGTTTTATGATCTTGCAAGGTACTTAATTTATATGGGAGGCAAATTTATAAGTGAATTAGAAGAACTGGAGAACACATACAGCTACATGCACACGTATACACTGGATTCTTGGACTTAAAACCAAGGTGATGTATCTTCCTATTTTAATGACAGAGTTTCCTTTTTGTTATATAGGCCAGTTTCTTGTCAATTAAACTGTCCAGCGAAAAGGAAACAAAAGTCCACACTCAAAACTGACAAATACTCAGGTGGGTGCAATGATTTTAGGAACAGAGCATCAGAGATTAGCAGCTGTGCTCCATCATGACATAGCCCAATAGATTTCTAAAGAAATGTTCTCACTTCCAAAAAGATACAGGGAATTCACCCCAAAGATTCACAGTATCAGTGTTCAGCAAACATTAGGTCTTCAGCAAATGGTTGCTGATTAGGAAAACATCAGAAACTAAAATTTTCAAGTATTAAAGTTTTATGGGTATTGTGTTACTGTTAAGTAAACAAGTCTCTGACTTCTCAAAGAGTATCCTCAAAACAAAACAAAACAAAATACCTCAAACGCAGATCTTCATTAGGCTTCTCCCTCCTACTGCGGAGTAGTTTTATTCCAGAATAATCTGCCATCCTTAGAGCCTATTTCTCCCCAGGGACAATGGGTAGTTGTGATGTCCTTCCAAGGTCCACAATAGCCCCCCATTAAACAGCCCCCACTGTCTCAGACACACGGAAGAACACTGGACACACACAAACCAAATGCTTCAGAGGAAAGGAATAGATACAAACTGGTGTGGAGTACAAGGAGGGCAGAGGGCAGAACTCAGAACTACAGAACAAAGGGAAAGGGTGGCTGATTGAGAATAAAAGGGGATCAAACCAAAGGGTTATTTCACAAAACGTAAAGCTTGAGGAAGCTCCAAAATCTCATCTGCTTTCCAGTCCTACCAATCTGCCAATGGTTTTATGTAAAATCAATGGTTTTATGTAGTGTATACACATGCATGAGCTTATGACTGTTCCCATGCCATCCTCGAAGGCAGGATACACGCTGCAGACACTCAGATGCATTAACCATTCACCTTGTGTGTGCGCATTCCTGCCAAGGTCTGCACATTCAACGGAACAAATAGCTGCTGATCCTAAGCCTAGAATATTGAAGAAGAGCATACCTGTAATTTTGTCTCTCACGAGTTTGCAGGATTCTATTTCACCAATGCTCCCAAAGAGACTCCTGAACTCCTCCTGGGTCATGTTCTGGGGTAAATAGTTGACTATGAGGTTGGTTTTGCTGTCATCTGTGGCTGCTCCTGTCTGCATAGGAGAAGGACAGTTTCTATTGTTGCTGGAGGGTCCATTGCTTGTATTGGATGTCGGGCCATTTGACACCTGTGGCTCCATGGTGCTAATTATCTAAATAAAAATAATAATAATAAAAATAAGCCTCCTGAAATCTCAAAGACACAGTCTCTTTCAAGATTTTATTTTATTTTGCATTTTGAAAAGAAAGGAAACAAGATAAAGCAAGATGGAGCAAAAGAGATGGGGTTGTGAACACATCCAATTTAGAAGCATGTTTTTAACCAAAATGTTAAACTCCCTTCGCTATTTTTAGGCCAGCCCATAGATTTTGAACACAGACTAGAATGCAGTGGGAACTCTCCCATTATTTTGTTAATGAAAAGCTAATTCCTGTTTTCATTACACAATCACTCTCAGAAATGTATACTTAAGCCACACCAAATTATAATTAAAATGTAAAGTAATAATCATGATTAAAATTATAGTTCCATTAAAGCGGAAAAACTAAATATAGAGGTCTATGCTTGCAAGATCAAATACAGTACCTGTTTATTAACTATCTCATAAAGTAAAATGACATTAAATTAAGTGGGGCTGTTCCGTACGGGAAGGGTTTAGATTTTCACTGATGCTTAAGCACCCATCAAACTTCAGATTTCATAAACACATGCCAAGGAGCTACAAAGTCATCTAACAATTCTTCTGCCTAGCTACTCCGTTACTGTTTCTCATGGACCTCTAATAAAATAAAGACCATAAAGGAAAAGATCTCTCTAGGTCTCTACCTTAGGTCCAACACAGCTTGAGGCTATCCTCTCACACTTTACTCAAAAAGGACTGTCTGTGGATTTAAATATTTAATTAAACAAAAATTTCCACAAATGTGTGAACTGTTCCAGGCAGCATGCATGGGAAAAAAGATAAATAAATCTTAGTCGCTAGCCTCAAGGAGCTTACTTACAGTCCATGTAGGACACAGACAGGCAAATGGCTCACAGTAGGACAATGGGCATGGCATGCATTAGGGGAACAATTAGTCCTACTTTATAGGATGGGATTGAGGGAAAGTACTAAGAAGATGAAGCAGGAATAAAGTTCTACATGGAAGATGGATTTAAGCTCATGGTGCCTGGTTGTAGAGGCCCTGTATGGCATGACAAACATGGAGAATCATAACACTGCAGAACCAGAAGGCCTTAAGGAAATAACATCTAGTAAAATCTAGTGCAAAATTCTCATGTTTGAGATGAATTCCAGAGACATCTAGTGAATTCTGTCATCACAAGAAACTGGGGCAGAGCCCGGGCCTGCAGTTTTCTGGCCCTGCATGCAGCCCAGTAGTCCCCCTATTCCATTTTATCCAATCATCATTCCTTACTAGTCTTTCACGATAGGACTTCCATTGCCTCTTTAAATTGATCAATTCTTTGGAAATGGAATCATGCTCTACTATTCACTAGCTGTGTGACTTTGGGTAAGGGACTTCAACTCCAGGCACCTTAGTTTTCCTCACTTGTAAAATGGGAACATTCCACCTATCTTGCAAGGTGGTGACATGATGTACAGAAACCATCTGAAGAGTAGTGGGAATGTAATTCACCATCCCTGAAATTTATTTTTATTTTTAAAAAATATTTTATTTTTAAGTAATCTCCATACTCAATATGGGGCTCTAACTTACAACCCCAAAATCAGGAGTTGCATGCTATGCTGATTGAGCCAGCCAGATATCCCCATCATTGATATTTATTAAAGTAACTCTACCAGTCATCTGACATGTATTGTCTCACTTACTTCTCACAAGAAGGCAATGAGACATATTCTCACATTCTCTACATCTTGTAGACAAGGAAAACAAAGCTTAGCAGACATCTGATAACTAACAACTTCCATTATATATCACCATTTGTCTACTGAGAGAATTTCTAGGGGATAAGCACTTTTATATCATACACATGTAGTAAAGTGTACAAATCTTAAGGGTACAACTCAAAGAATGTTTGCAAAGAGAACACAATTCATACGTGAGTAGTCACCTTTCAGATCATGATATAGAACATGACTAGCATCCCAGAAGCCTTTCGTGTGTCCCTACCTCCATCATTCACACCACCTCCCAAAGGTAACTGACTTCTAATTCAGAGATTTGTTTTATCTGTTTTTGAACTTTAAATACATGGAATCACACAATATGTATTCTTTTATGTCTTTTCACACATTATGTCTGGGTGTCATCCATGTCATTAGATATGGTGGTAGGTTTCTTCTTCTCCACTGCTATAGGGAATTCCTGTGTATAAAAATATTGGGGGCAACTGGGTGGCTTAGTCAGTTAAGTATCCCACTTCGGTTCAGGTCATGATCTCACGGTTTGTGGGTTCGAGCTCTGCATAGGGCTCTGTGCTGATAGTGCAGAGCCTGCTTGGGATCCTCTGTCTCCCCCTCTCTCTGCCTCTCTCTCTCTCTCTCTCTCTCAAAAATAGATAAACATTTAAGAAAATTAGGGGCATCTCAGGGCTCAGTCTGTTAAGTGTCTGACTATGGCTCAGGTCATGATCTCACAGTTTATGAGTTTGAGCCCCACATCAGACTCTGTGATGACAGCTCAGAGCCTGGAACCTATTTCAGATTCTGTATTTCTGTCTCTCTCTACCCCTTCTCCATTCTCTCTCTCTCTCTCAAAAATAAATAAACATTAAAACAATTTTTAAAAATCACATTTTGGGGTGCCTAGATTGCTCAGTTGGTTAAGTGTCAGACTTTGGCTCAGGTCATGATCTCATGGTTCGTGGTTTTGAGCCCTGTGTCAGGCTCAGAGCCTGGAGTTTGCTTTGGATTCTGTGTCTCCCTCTCTCTGCCCCTCTCCCACTCACACTCTGCCTCTGTCTCTCAAAAATAAATAAACATTAAAAATTTTTTTAATCACATTTTATTTATCTCTTCTACTGTTGATAAACATTTGGGTTGTTTCTAGGTTTTAACTATTTTGATAATGCTGTTATGAGGATTATGTACTTGTCTTGTGGTTTACACACACACACATTTCTGTTTGGAATATTCCTTGGAGTCTATTTTGGGTCATAGACTATATGTATGTTCTGCTGTAGTAGGCACTGTCAGTATCTTTTTAAAATGGTTGCACCAATTTACACTCCCACCAGCAGAGTATGAAAGTTCCAGTTGCTGCACATCCTTATCAACATTCGAGACTTTCTTGCTTTGGTGTTTTTTTTTTTTTTTTTTTTTGTGCTTATTTTCTCATTGAAGCAGAGTGATAAAGTAAAAAAGGAATAAATTTTTAGTCAAGGCAACAGCTCCACCACTTGTTAGCTATGTGATTTCAGGGAGGTTACATCAATACTCTGAGCCTCAGTTTCCTCTTTGTAAATTGGAATAAAGCCTCCTGTGTAGGTTTATCTTCAGAAAGAATGCCTGGAGGCATCATGACTGTTATTTTTCATCATGCCCTATATAGGTGTTACTTTAATTATTTTCTCTTCTGAATGATCATAAATGTGAAATGAAACCAAATTAAGAAAAAAGAAGTCTCAAGAGGAGTCAGAAAGATAAGGCAGACTGAGGAAGGTGAGGACCTTCTAAGAATCTTTACCATCATAAGTAACTTAAGTGGCTCCACTTATCACATCGTCAGAAATTTTTTCTTGGATTCAGGTCAACTGTGGGATTCTGGAAGGCTGGTTGAGACAGCAAGGATAAAACAAAGAGTTTCTGAGAAGAATCTTATTTTTATTTTAAATGTTTATTACTTGAGCGAAAGAGAGGGCACAGGAGAGGGTCAGAAAGAGGGCGGGGCAGGGGATCCAAAGCAGGCTCTATGGGACACAGAGTGTGATGCAGGGCTTGAACTCATGAACCACAATATCATGACTTGCACCAAAATCAAGACTTGGGATGCTTAATGGACTAAGCCACCCAGGTGCCCCATCTGAAGAATCTTAAATAAAGTTCTTCTCAGCACTGATAGAAACTGCACCAACACAGCCTAGTCAGCAGCTCTGTCCAGGAAAAAATGAGAGAGATGTGCCCAAGGGAGGCACATGCTAATGGAGATGAGGTCGTAGAGCATCATCACAGCTCCTGGCGGGGAGGCAGGTTTCTGCTCTGCCAAACTGTTGGGCCTCCTGGGCCTGAGCTGTGTCTCCATTTGCTGTGTCGTCTCACTGCCTCACTAAGTGTCCAGGCAACAAACACAAGGAGCACTGCCAACTTGATAAGAAACTTAAAAGCAGGATTTATCTGGTTCAGAAGGCGGGGCTGGCAGAACCACAGAGCTACCCAGCTGCTACATTTTGACTTGATGGTAAAAGTGCCAGTCTCACAATCTTTATAACATCTTCCTTGCTCTCCATATTTGTCAGGTTATCGTTCTCTTTTTTATTCTTTCAATGTGTATTTATTTGAGAGAGAGAGAGAGAGAGAGAGAGAAAGAGAGAGAGAGAGAGATGAGGGGAGGAGCAGAGATAGAGAAAGACACAGAATCTGAAGCAGGCTCCAGGCTCCGAGCTGTCAGCACAGAGCCCAACACAGGGCTTGAAATCATGAAACGTGAGATAATGACCTGAGCCTACATCAGACATTTAATGGACTGAGCCACCCAGGAGCCCCTGTCAGGTTACCTTTCTTATGGCTCTCCCACAAACCCCTAGAAAATATCCGGCACCGAGGCAGCGTTTTTGACATTAATGATGGAGTATGAAGAAGAATGTAAATCATACCCAGCATGCTGAGATTCTATGGGACCAACACTGTTAAAGGTCACCTAACAGCCAGGTTCATCTTTTGTTCACTGGATACTAGCCTCACAGACATGTGTGGTGAAAGCCAGCACTTGTCCATGTGAACATCTCACAGGTTTTCTTGCTCCAGAGAAACCTAGGAAGTACCGAGTCTGCAGTAAAGTCATTTCAATTCCCCAGTCATCTTTCTGATCCCCCTACATCTTTTGTGCATTTCCTAAATTATGCTGATTCCTGGACTAGAGCCCCATCTGTAGATCAGACAACCCTAACTGAGCCCAAACTTTTGAAAAGGATCCATGAGATGCAATATTCAGTACTGAGCTACTCCAACCAACCAAATCTGTAAATTAG